GGGTACTACTGGGGAACCTAGTCCAGTTAACATGAACCACAAAATCTTTAAACGAGGACCTTGTAACCCAATCAACCCGGACCGGTGCCAAGAAACGCGCCAGAACCTTCTCACGAAAGGTTCAGAAAACATGGTACTTACTATTATTATTGTTATTATTATGATTATAATTGTGATGATGATTATTTTTATCAGTTTGGGGGGGGGGTGCTGAGCCCGGTACCGGCAAAGCGAATTAACCCCCGTGACCTGGGTTTCAGGGTCGGACATGCCCTTGTTAGAAGGATCCTGCTATCTAACATGGGGACTTCAATAGTTAGAATAGGGCTGGGGGACATGCGTCTACCTCGACGACGTAGAAACTAAACAGGAACTGTATGCGTGTTACCGAACATTCCGACTGGTATTTAGTAAGGTTAGATTTACTGTAGGGGGACATGCAGGACGTTTTGGGTTACCCTCTGGTAAAAGGATGCTGTTCCGGGTTTCGGATTTGAGGTGCGGGGTTGACCTGCTTTTCGCTCAGGGCCAATTGCTTCCAGAAGCCTGTCCCCTTTTGGGCTTCGATCTTCAAGTCGTCTGTCATTCCCGCTTGGAGGAACGCTTGAGTCAGCAAGTATGCCTAGCAACTCCTACATCCCCGTACGAATTCCTGGAGCCCACCTTACTTGCTCTACTTATAACACTGAGTCCAAGCATGACGAAAGCAAAGGGCATTTAGCTTCACAGCAAGCCGTAATTCACCATCAACAGCATAGGAAATTGAGAAGGTGCTGCCTAGGTTCTCGTCTTGCGCCCGGCCATCTGTGCGTCCGCCCAGCATGTCCCTTGCCTTGTATTGCTACGCAGTCCCTTGCTAGGACTGGGAGGATCTCGAAACATCGCTAAGCAGTGCCTGTCTGTACACTATTTGTGAGGTCAATACTTGTCTGTCTAATACATAGTTGCACTCGCCAAATTGTGGCCCTTGTATCTAAATGGGTAGACCTCTAAATTAGGGTTCCCTTTTAGGGTCCTTTTTATAAGGCTGCCGTACTAATATTGGGGACCTAAACAGGGATCCTAGTTTAGAGAACTACCCAAATCCCCCGAACTTTGTTACGACCAAAAGGAGCTGCAAAGGAACTCTGAAAGCTTCGACTGCCCAGGCACCCTGGTCAGGGCCTCACGCTCCTCGAGCTTGTCTGCAGAGACGTCGAAGGAGCGGACGGCACAAACATTCCTTGGCTGTGGAAGTTTAGGAACCCTATAAACCCTATAAACCCTAAACACCTTATAAACCCTATGTGGTTCAGGATTTCGGGGTTGGCTGTGGAAGTTCGGGGATTGCAGGGCTTATCGGGCCACTTGGGGACGGTTTATTTGGCGGGGGCAGGGTGGGTTTTGCCGGCTTGTCTAGTTCGGCTTTAGGGTCTTGCAGCTACGGGGCTTGAGGGCTTGAGGGTTGAGGAATTCCATGTCTGTCCAACGCTTAAGTTCGGGGATTTCGGGTCAAGGTCTATCTTGGTGATGGGGCCGCAGGGCTCGATCTCTGGTCCGTTGAGACTTAAACCCTGAAGCCCGAAAGCCATAAAGCTCTAGAGCCCAAAAGCCCTGAAACCCTAAACCCTAAAACCCCTTAACCCTAAAACCCCTTAACCCTAAACCCCTTAACCCTAGACCCTAACTCCTAAACCCCTAAGCCCTAAAGCCCTAACCAGAGGCCCGGGACTTCGGAGAGTTCCGGATTTCGAGCTTAGGTTAATGGAAACTACAGGTGGGGAGTTTAGGGTATATAGGGCTTCTATAAGGCTTTCAGAAGGTATATAGACCTTCTATATAATGCTCCTATAACGGTAACTACCCACCTGAGAATGTCCTAGATTAGCAGCCCGCGAGAATCTTAGGCCTCGGCTTTTCGGGCTTGCCGTTTGGGGGTTGGGAGCTTTCGGGTTCCTGCGTTTAGGGGTTTAGGGGTTTAGAGCTTTCGGGTTCCTGCGTTTAGGGGTTTAGGGTTTAGAGCTTTCGGGTGTCTGTGTTTAGGGGTTTGGAGGTTTAGGGGTTTAGGGTCTGGTGGCTTAGGGCTTAGAGGTTTAGGGGTTTAGCGTCTCGGGGTTTAGGGCTTAGGGTTCAGGGTTTAAGGGGTCTAGGGTAAGAGATATGTCAGTCTACGGTGCGCAGGTAATATACCTAAACCCTAAACTCAAGCACCCTAAATTCCAAACCCTAAAACCCGAAACTCTAAAACCCTAAGGCCCCTATATCTGGAACCCCTTAAAAGAAACCCTAAACCCCAAACCCTCGTCAACTTCTCAAAGGCCCCAACCTAAACTCAAGCAGACAGGCTTCTAAAAGTCTCAAACTAACACCCCGGAGCCCTGGCCCGAAACCCCAAACCCCAAAAGACTGGAACCCTAAACCCCTAAACCCCTAAACCCTTAAACCCCAAACCTCTAAACCCCTAAACCCCTAAACCTCTAAACCCCTAAAACCCTAAACTAAACCCCTAAACCTCTAAACCTGTTTTCCATGGCCATGTTTTCGGTCCAAGTGTCTCCATGACGCGTGCTCTGACCTCGGCTGAGTAGCCTCGGCCGAAAGTTCACATTGCTGTGAATGAGGCTGTTTGGGGTGCATGGTATTGGGGGTCCAGGGTTTTTAAAGGAATCTACAGGTGGGAAGTTTAGGGTATATAAGGCTTCTATCAGGCTTCCATAAGGTATATAGACCTTCTATACGGCTCCTATAACGGTAGCTACCCACCTGAAAATGTCCTAGAGGTTTAGGGTCTAGGCTTTAGGCTTCAGGGTTTAGGGTGTATTGAATAGGGTGTTAGGGTCTAGGTGTACTATGAATGCTATGATTGAGGTTGGGGGGCATAGTGTGAGTGTTTGCCGGGTCCGATCTCGTGCTCAGTGTAGGGTTGCAGATGATCGTTGTTTGTTGGGCTTCCGGGTTGCAGCTTTAGGATGACAGGATTGCGGGTTTAGTAATTAGGGTTTTAGGGTTTAGGGGTTTAGGTGTGCCATGAGTGCTATGTTTAAGGACTTCCTGGCACAAACAGAGCCTAAACAACTCAACGTATGTACTTCGTACAGAAAAGCAAGGAGGCCGGCAACCTACCTCGCAGATGACCGAAAATCCGAAAATGGTGAATCCCGGTCTGTTTTGCCTCAACCCCCACCTACGTCCACGTCCGGCAACCCCGACTCCATGCCTTCGTCTGCAGTCACATTCTGCGATTTTACTGTCGTGTGCAGGCCGATGGGTGGACATAAGCTATATTATAAATAGCTATTGCAGAACTATGATATTGCAAAAGCAGCTATAACCCTACTGAGTTAATTCAGGCCTCTACCATCGAATCATATAGAGGCCTTAACTTAACTAGAATCAGGTGTTGGGGTCCTTTAGAGTCGAACTCTAATCAGGAGCCCCAAAAAGCAATATGGGTACTTGTTAATATTAATTCAAGCCTCTCCGATACCCAACTCTGAAGTCTCAATCCCACGCCCGGGCTGTGAGGGTTTGGGGTTCAGGGCTTCGGAGCTGGAGTTTTTAGGCTGCTGCAACCCTTCTAAGGCATCTTTTGAAAGCCACTCTACACCCGATGAGCTTCATAGGGACAGAAACCCTGGTTTAGGGGTTTAGGGTATAGGGGTTGGGGGTTTAAAGTTTTTGGTTTGAGGGTCCGTAGCCAGAAATCCGGCAAACACGCTCAGCGGCACCTCGTTGGCCAAAGGTTGAAACCTCCACCATGGCGACCTGTCAGGCGAAACCCGAGTTCCAGAGACTAGCTTCGGGGTTTAGGGTTTAGGGGTTTAGGGTTTAGGGGTTTAGGGCTTAGGGGTTTAGGGTTTAGGGTTTACGGGTTTAGGGTTTGGGGTCTAGGGTTCAGGGTTTTGGGTTTAGGTGTTTAGGGTTTAGGGAACCAAGATCATTAGTCGTTCCAATGCCGAGCAACGTGCTTGCAAGCAGTCATAGTAGCAAGACTCTTGTTGTGAGAGACCGTTGCAACCGGCTTCTGTGCTTTAGTGTGGGGTTTCGGGCAAGGCCCATTGCCTTGACTTCGCCTAGAGCGACTTAGGGCTTTGTCTCAGGGTTCCGATGCACAGTCCAGGGTGACCCCGCGCCCTAAACTCTAATTTGCTAGTTGAAAGAACGAAGGGACAAGGATTTGAGAAGCCCAGCAAACAGGACCTATGTAATCGTGTCTCCAGAAGCTGTCCAAGAATGACAATCTCAATCTGGCCAATCTGACTCAACCTTCATGCGTTCTTCGGGCCTCAGTGGCAATCTAGGTCCATCGTTTACATGCATATGGGCTCTTCGAACTGAAGAACCCGTCAATGAGTCACATCCTACATCTTTTACCCAGAAATAAAACTTCCAGACACTCATTATCTGTAGAGGGCACGAGAATTAGCTCATAATCTCGTGGAGGCCGAGGCACATAGAAAGGTATCATCCCTCGGTGGCGGGATCCCTGCTGCCACTGGTAACCTCACCGCTCACGGCTCGATGCAGGCTCGTGGAGCTAGCAGTTTGGACTCTCGTCATTCTGTTCCCTATCGTCATCGTCATCATCCACCTGAAAAGTCTGCAGCTCAGCTGCGGATGTAGGAGGGGCCACTCGCATGACTCACATGACTGCCCATAGGCCCCATAATAGTTTCCTTTTTTGGGATTACCTAGTAGGATCCTACATATAAGCCACAAACAGGAACTACTATGGGGCCTATGGGTAGTCGCCACCTGCAAGCTCGCCCTGCACAGCTTTTGCTCTGCTAGCAAGAACAGCAGCCGCATGAAACATAGCGGTGCAACCCCAGTACTTGTAGCGCAACAGCTGCAGGGCCAGTACTACTGTTGAACGTGCAACTCCCACGTTTGCTTCAATACGCTGAAATGTGGCCTACGGCATGTTCCCTGTATTGGCAGGCAGCTGCACCAAATGCAGTAGACCAGCCAACTGAAGCCACTACCTCAGGTCTTCGCAGAGGTTAGGCGACATCTGTCACTGTAGGGTATTCCATAAGAATGACTAGAGGGGTCAGGATGGTGTTCTCGGGTTCTGGGCTTAAGAGCGGCTCATCCGAAATCCTACCCATCATCTGTCATTTGCGCAGAACATACCTCACCCTGGTGCTCCGACATATATATATATATATATATATACATACATACATATATATATATATATATATACACATAGACCCACACATAGGTATACATGCACTACGGCTTGTCGCACAACAAGACTTTCTCTGTGAATGTTAAAGCCCTCGTGGGCCCCTCAAGCTCGAAGTTCCGAAATCGTGCGAACAAAAAGAGAAAGACACAGGAGCGATGTTTGGAGGCTCGGGCATTAAGAAATGAAAGGCTCACTGATACTGTGCTGCTCAGGGCTGATACCTGTATTTGTTAATGAATTCTAGCTTATGTTTCTAATTCCCGACCACACGCGATGTGGTGGTCGCAAAACATCCTTGCTGGGAGCGGTCCACGACGCAAATGAGTCTCCTGAGGTAACAAGACCTGCCAACAACGTTACCCTGCTGTCGTCACCGTTATTGGCATGATTACTGGCATGACTACTGCAGGGACAAGCGCTAGCCCTAGCATTGGTATCATTAAGACTGGTACCAAACTCATCATCATCGTCATCATCATCATGACTGCCTATGAAAAACTGTCTAGTATTCATGATGCAAGACAAACAGTGCCGCTGGTTGCTTCCTATCTGTGCGCGCATGCTGTTTCGTAAGCGGACCTGACACGAGACATCAGGTGTGGGACTGTAGCAGCGAGAGTACACAAAGGACCCGGATACTTTTTGCCAAAATCTATGTACGATGGCCGTACAGCATGAATATAAGAATCTCAGTAGGCCAAAGTATATATCCTGTAATCTTGTATGTACATGAACAGTTGGGCTTTTGGACTGTGGGATGCCATGGCACTGAACACCAACATGGCAAGGCTTCCCACGCTGAACATTGTCATGAACGTCGAGTCGTTTGTACCTCGGCGAGGCTTTGGGCTGAGGACGTGCGGTTTTAGGGCTTGGGATAAGGGTTTAGGGGTTTAGGGGTTTAGGGTTTAGGGTTTAGGGCTTGGGATAAATGTTGAAACACGCCGTAGGACCCGGAGCTCTCCGGACACATCACACATGAAAGCCAACTTTCCACCCATCGAAGTCGCAACAAACACTACTCAGAGGCTCTTCACGGGAACCCTAAACCCTAAACCCTAAACCCTAAACCGTCGCAGTTTATGACTGAAGGCATGGTCCTCGATACCTGCTCGGCTTCCCGAGCAGGCTCTCTGAAGAAACCTCCGAGGCACCTAACGGATGCGTCCCTGCTGAACCCTCAAGCTCGAAAATCCTTGGTTTAGGGTTTAGGGTTTAGGGTCCCAAACCATAAACCCCTCTACCCTAAAAACAGATATAAGTCCTAAACTCCAAACCCCCTGAACCCAAAACCCGACACCCTGAGGCCCTGGCTGCAGAAGACGCTGGGCACATCTGAGAGCACGTAGATCCCGTCACCAGCGTTGATGCAAGCGAAAGGGATGAGAATAGTATCCAAGTGGAAAGGAAGCCTGCTCGTTGAGGGTTTAGGGTTTAGGGTTTAGCATCCTATGTCTCGGGGTTGTTATAGGGAATTTCGAGGGCTTTACAGGGCTTGTTAAGTTTCTGTAGGGGTTCATACGGTGTCATGGGTGTTTGCGTGGGTCTCTGTATATTGCAATGACGACATGCTAAGGAACCCAATTCTACCTTGCCCAGAAGTAGGGTAACTATACTTATTAAAACCCATATTAGGGGACATATAACCCTACTTATAACTACCCATGAACCTCCAAACCCTAGACCCTAAACCCTGTAGAACCCTTTAAAGGAACTCTTAAAGGAACCCCTTATAACCCCGCTTAAAACCTAAACCCTAAGTGCTGCTACGACGAGGGGCAGAGCGAGGAGCACCATGCAGATGCACCGCGCCCAGGCGTTGGTGAGCAAGGCCTTCTTGGTCTGGAAGGCCTGGTGGAGACCAAAGAGCCCAGCAGAGTGAGCCCGGATCAGATGGATATTAGGGTTTAGGGTTTAGGGTTTAGGGTTTAGGGTTTAGGGGAGGAGTGAGCCCGAATCAGATGAATAAGTGTGTTGTGCAGTGTCATGTAGGGTTTATAATACGGTCCTTAAGGATTACCAAAGGGATTTGGGCTACAAAAGGATACAGTTCAAAAGGACTTATAAAAGCAATGGTGCGAATTACTAATTATTCACTTCCCGACAGCAGGTCCGTTTCGGTTTGAGGGCAAGATGTTCGCACAACCTGGCAACCCTTCACTGTGAAACTCAACATATGCTATCAGAAGTTTCTTGTTGGCTCCTCCAGGTACAGTGGCCGAGGCAGGTGATGGTTCCCCAAACCCCCTAAACCCTAAACCCGACACTCCAAACCACACGCGAGGAAGCCTCATTTCTGCTGCGTCAAGTCCTCAACCCGAGAAACCTGCAGCCCGAAATCCTAAACCAATGCGGACCCTCTGAAAACAGAATCGTGGCAACAATAAACCTCAGCACGCCCCGACGTTTTGACAACTATTATACAACTAGACCGGACTCATGTCATATACTGGTAGGAGACCGAAATAGTTAGAACAGGCTTTGGAAGTGTATTCTCGCATGAATGTAAGAAGAAGCCCTGAGGACAAGTAACACTAAATATATAAGGCTCTAGATGACCTATAGCACGCATCTGGACACCCAAACACGTTTCTAGAAACCCACGGAAGACAGCGCTATAATGTTGCCATCATCTTCATCTCGCTAAGGGACGCAGGAGAAATAAGGGCGGATATTGTTACCAATCCGAATCCTCGTAATGTACGGGTAATAGTGAATAGCATAGCACTCTACGATATGGGTGGTTCTTCAAATTAGGGTCCCTTTTTTGGGTCCCCAAGATAGTACGGCAAGGCCTCTGAAAGGGCTACCCATATCTACAAATTATTCCGACCCCTAAACCCCTAAAACCTTAAACCCTTCCTGCCGGCGGCCTCTGGACCGAGACCCGGCAAAGTGGCCATCAGTGCCATGATGTAGGCGGCCGTGAGGGGCATGATCATGAAGTAGGGGATCACCTTGAGGGCTTAGGGGTTTAGGGTTTAGGGATTAGGGGTTTAGGGTTTAGGGTTTAGGGATTAGGGGTTTAGGGTTTAGGGTTTAGGGATTAGGGGTTTAGGGGCTTCGGGGGTCAATGGGGGGCTTGGGGCTCGTAGGATTTATGGGGTTGGGGTTGTTTCGGTGGTTTCGGGCTTATGGGGTTTCGGGGGTTTCAGCAGCTTGAGGCGTTGGGTTTAGGATGGAGTGGAGCTTTGGAATGGATGTCGGGGTGTAGGGCTTAAAGGCTTTAGGCTGGAAGTTGGGGTTTGTACTAATATGCTACAAGGGCTTGATGAGGGTTGTATGGGGCTTAAGATACAACTTTGGCTTTGAAGAAGACGTTCCCGATGTAGGTACTTTAAAAATACGAGAAAATCTATTTATGCATTGGTTTCATGTTGTACTATGCTGTATAATCTTAATATATATATATATATGTATGTATGTATGTATGTATGTATGTATGTATGTATGTATGTATGTATGTATGTACACATCATAGTAGAACAGATCAGAAATACTAGAACATAACAACATATAAACCGAAATCCTGAACCCAGAACTGTGTACGCTCGTAGCCCAAAACCGAAACAAGACCGATACCTTCGATAAGAGTTGAGTTGAATCCAAGGCACGAGGAACCCCAGCCACTTGTTTATGTAAGGCGTCTCGGCGGAGCACTCGGGAGCAAAGAAGTTGAGATTGAAAGAGAACCTTACATCCAGGATTCAGCTTACAGCGAACCCCAGAAAGTTGGAAGATGGTTTAGGAGGATCAGTGCTAGGATCCCTTATGCTTTACCCTCAAAACATGAGGATATTCATGTTCCAATTTTCTGGCTTCTACTGTAGGTGTTACGGACCAGTTATGGTCCTTTTGGATTCCAGGGGGTTGATTTGAACTAGAGCTTGGGGCTGGCATTGCGGAGGATGTTTGCGGAATCAGGGCGTGACGGCAGAGAAGAGACGCCTGCAACCAGGGCTGCAACCTGCGCTGCCATCCGTGACATGCAGGTTAAAGCCTATAGAAGCCCTAAACACCCAAACCCGAAAGCCCTAAAACGCTTCTGTGAGTCAAGGAACCCTATCTCAAACTTTCGTGCACTAGCCAAGAACCAACAAACTAAAACCAGAAATGCAGTTCCCTCCCTCCTCCGATTTGGGAGTTTGGCCATGCCTCATAAACGGATGTTTGCCCACGTCGTAGTTTTAGGAATACGAGGTTTCTTACATGGACACCGCCTACCCTATACCCTCAGTTCCAAAGAACCGTCGGCTCTTCCCTGTGCGCGCCGGTAGTGTCATAGCATGTAGGTCAGTAAGTAAGTGAGTATGTATGCATGTATGTTTGCATGTGTATGTATGCATATTATATATACATATATATATATATATAAATGTTTCTTTTTTATATTCATGTTTATCTGCATACTCTTTGGCCTTAGGGGGTTGAGGTCCCTGTATGAAATAGGAGCCCCTTCGAGGCCTTGTGTCAACTGCATATTACGTATACCTTATAGGAACCTGAACCGTGAAAGAGTGAACAAGAGTTAACCCCAAACCCTAAACCCTATAATCCTAAACCCTAAACCCTGTAATCCTCAACCCTAAACCCTAAACCGTTTCAAGAAGCATCTGTGCGATCTTCACCAGCTCGGTGAACATGGCAGGCCACCTCATTCCAGCCAGGTCAAGGCTCCGGCTTGCAAGGTTTGGGGCTTGAGGGTTTGGGTTTAGGGTTTTGGGGTTTTTGGGGTTTTTGGGGTTTTAGGTTTGGGGTTTTGGGATTTTTGGGGTTTTAGGGTTTAGGGTTTTGGGTTTTGGGTTTTTGGGTTTAGGGTTTTAGCGTTTAGGGTTTTAGGTTTCAGGGTTTAGGGTTGAGGGTTCTAGAAGCTAAAGCCCAAAATCTGGTCCCCCGTTGGGGCTAGATTAAAAATGATCATTTTTAATCCCTACTGGATTTTAGTAGAACAAAAAATGTGGCCAACCAGGACCCAGAAATCCTAAACCCCTAAATCCTAAAATCCTTTGGGCTTCTGTATTCCGGATCCTTTCCCACAGCCCTGAACCCAGAGCAGTAAAGCCCAAGCCCTAAACCCCAAACCCCAAACTGCAAGCCCTAAACCCTAAACCCCAAACTGCAAGCCCTAAACCCTAGACCCCAAACTGCAAACCTTAAACCCCAAACTGCAAACCCTAACCCCAAACCCCCAAACTGCAAACCCTAAACCCTAAACCCCAAACTGCAAACCCTAAACCCTAAACCCCAAACTGCAAACCCTAAACCCTAAACCCCAAACTGCAAACCCTAAACCCTAAACCCCAAACTGGAAACCCTAAACCCTAAACCCCGAACTGCAAACCTTAAACCCTAAACCTTGATCTGCCGTCCTTGGCAGGGTCCTACGAAAGTGCTGCCCGAGGTGCTTGAAGTCGAAGCCCGAGACTTTCGTAAAGGACGTGAGGACACCCAGCATGACCTCAGGATTGCAAGTATCATAGGGGCCTGGTAGGGCTTTTGGGTTTTAGGGTTGAGGGTTTAGGGTTTTAGGGTTTTAGGTTTAGGGTTTAGGGTTTAGGGTTTTGGGGTTTTAGGGTTTTAGGGTGTTAGGGCTTTAGGGTTTTATTCTTAGGGTTTAGGGCTTTACAAGGGTGTTTTCGGCTATGGTTACAATCAGAAGGCCTACGGAATATGGTAGGTACCTTGGTCATGAGAGCATAACTCGCCCCAGAAAGTTGGACCATGGAGGTCTTAAGGACAATAGGAGGGACCCCTAGAAGGGACCCCTAATCCTAATACCCTCTATATATATATATATATATGTATAAATCTCTTATATACCCCTTAAAATAGCTGGGATTCCCTATGTTTTGCCTTATGAGAGCATGATGATGATTAGGGCAGCAAAAAAGCACATAAGCAAAACTTGGCATAGGGATATCCCATATAAACCCCCTCATAATGAAGCCCAATAAGGTAGGGATATCCCTAAAAAAATGCTTATGCTTATGTCCGTTCTGGGTTCCTAAATAATCATGTTCCACCTTTCTGGTATCTACTCCAACGGTTTATAGCCGGTATACTACATTATGGTGCTTTATATATTATGGGTTTAGGGTTTAGGGTTTAGGGTTGTTTTTAAGGTTATGGGTTTAGGGTTTACGGTTAAGGGGATTATAATAAGGAAGCCTACGGAAAGGTACTCGGGTGCAGGTTCTATGCTTCTGGCCACTGCGTGGCTTCGTAATCCATCATGCACCTGCAGGACAATCCGCTACGATCTTTCGCAGCACGTGGGGCTTTGGGTGCAAGCAAGGTTTACCGTTCCAGGGTTTAGGGTTTAGTGCTTGGAGGTTTAAGGTCAAGAGCCAGCAGTCTTGGTTACTTCTGTTTCCGGCAAAACCTCTGTGGATAGTACTCAGGGCAACTACACATCTAGATTGAATAACACGATGTAGAATTGCGACTCAGCAATCGAATCTTCGGGCTAGTATCTGCAGCGCCCAGCTTACAAAACCGACTCAACCAAGAAAACGAAACAAACTAGAGACCCTCTACACCCCTACCCAACATTAAAATCCTGAGCCCTACTCACCCTACTCCCTAAAACCCTGACACTGCAACCTAAACCCTAAAGCACTGAAGCACTAACAGACCCCAACAAAACAACAAGCAACACACCCATACTATAGAAGCCTAAATCATTACCAATATTATTCCTTAGGTACCTTATTATAATGATACGATAAAGGAGCCCAAAACCCTATTCTAATTGTTAAGACCCCTATATTCCACCCAGACCCAGCGATCCGAGGTGCGACGATCATCTTCCGGTCGTCATCAAAATTCACGCCCTCGGCAGAGCGTCCCTCCATCTCCTGCAGCACTTGGAGTTTCGGTGAATGAATTTGTTGTGATATCCGAGAGTATTGAAGGAAACTACAGGTGGGGAGTTTAGGGTATAACATAGACCTTCTATAAGGCTCCTAGAACGGTAACTACCCACCTGAAAATGTCCTAGGGAGTACCAATGGACCAAGGAGTTCGGGTTTTGGTTTCCGGGGGTTGACGGCACGGAAAAGGCCCTAAACCCTAAACCCTAAACCCAAGGCATCAGCTGGCTTTGACGAAAAGCTTAGGATGTTTGCGTGCAATCGGGCAGCTGCTGCCTCAGCACGAGGGAGAGACCCTACCCATAGGCGGCCCCATAGTAGTTCCTTTTTGGGGGGTTCATATTTAAAATCCTATAAGGTAGTCCCAAAAAGAACTACTATGGGGCCTGTGCGTAAACCCTAAAAAAACCTGCAACCCTCAAAAACCGCGAGCCGAGCTTTTCCCCGGTTGCCTGGCTCGATTACCAGGCCATCAGACTGCACAGGTCAAGCCTAGTTAAGGCCTAGTTCTCGCAGCGCCTGATTGTTTGCCTCTGCAACAGACACAACCTTGGACACTCAGACTGCACATGGCGTTGAAAGGCGTGTACAAACAGAAGTGTCTACGTGCGCATGCCATTGCGTGTAGATAAATCAACAAACAAACCCAAACGCACACAACAAGCTGTGCATATACAACTACACGGCGATTTGTGAAAACTAGTATAAAGACATATAAACTATTGTGTGTCAGGACAAGCTTGCTACTTTTGCCAAAGCCCGCTAATTAGGGAGACTGCAGCTGGTATTGCACTGCAGGCATTGAAGGCTTGAGCGGGCATTAAACAATCTATGAAACATATGTATATATATATAT